CGAAAACATGGCACTTTGTGTCACAAGCGGTTTTGAACTCGGCTTCTGTTTGGAGGCTTTTAGCCCAGCATGTTCCTGATCCACCCCAAATTTGAATCCCAGCTGTGCTGAATACGCAGAGCGCGCGGCCTAGAGGCGTAACATCATCAGCACAGTTGGGTGCGTGCTTCTGTCTCAATCAAGGGGCCTAGCTTGCAAATACCATCAGTTCAATGTTCAATGCCAGTTTGGACACGAAATTTTCCTGTTTTTTCTCGACGTGGTCAGAAACTCAGATCAACCAGCAGAAATCCTCGACAAGATTGGAGCCAAGACTGCAGGCGTTAGCCGCAGCTAGCAAGTGTGGGGGGAGCGAAGCTGTCAGGTTCGGAGCGAAAAACGATTGTGGTTGGCATCGAAGTCATGTGAACATCAAGTTCTGAGGTATCCCATGCTTGTGAACATGTACAGCGTGTTTAGAACGCCCTAAGTTCCTCCTAATTTTATCCCGCTACCCGGGATACTGAGTACTGCGTGCTTTGGAAAACCGACGTCGGTCCAGTCCTCGTCCACAATCTGGATGAACGAGTTACGGTACCTGAGCGCTCAAGCCGAGACTCTACTCGCGTTCTCCCTACTAGAAAATTCAAGAGGCTATGGTATGCCACCTGGTCATCAATGGGGTTCCCCCAACTAGAAAATCTGTGCATCAGTTCATGCACATTTAGCAGAAGAGGGCTTCAAACAGCCCGCAGTAGGTCGTCATTCAGATCCAAAGTAAGCAAGGTTTGAAGTCCTGAAGATACTGTGCAGCTCATTCTGCCGCCACTTCCTAAGAAGAGAAGGGATCTAGGTTTTTGGGCTTCGAGCTTGAGGATAGCAAGATTCAAAGTAAGAGGTAGAGGCTCCACAGAGCAAGGATAACGATGAGCTTTACATAAGTTGCTCTCGCTTCGAAGTAAGTGTTTTATGCTTTCCCCCATCCCCCCACACGCTTGTTTGGTCCTAGCTTTCACAAGCCCCAAAAGTGGCTTGTGACATCTGCGTTTTCTACTTCTATACTATTTTGATCACTGCCCTGGCCATCAATACTCTGAGCATGACTATCAGCATTGCTACCTCTTTCAATCCTATGACCACTTTCATTCCTGTTGCCAGCGCTATGCTTACTTTAAGTATCACTGCAAGATTCACGTCTTCTAAACCCAACCACTACGATGGATTTAGGCACGGCTGCTTGAACCACTCTGCAGACAAAGTTGCATACAGGTTGATGCATCCATTGCAACGCAGCGTCAATCTCCCGCTGGCCAAAAATAGAAGTTCAAACCTACTAGAAGAGCCAGTAGCACTGGTCGAGCATGCTGTTTGGGGATGAGGCGCATCACACCCTCCTCGGCATGATGTATCCTTTAACCGTTAACCCTAAACCCGAAATAGTGATTTTCATGTCATTTCCATTTCAGTCTCCATTATTCCCACCCTAAACCCCAAGAAGTCCATCATACAATCACCACGGAGGTGCGAGTTAAACGAAACTTAAAGACTTTGTGCATCCAATGAGTAGTCTCTTTTGGCGGTTGCTCTGGACATAAGCTTGCGCCCGCGACAAACTTTGTCAGAAAACGACGGAACGAACTGAAACATCTCTGTCGGACCCGGCAAAAGATAATATCTTTCTGTCTGCTACGAGTCGCTGACTTCAAATCTGGGGGAGTTGCAAAATCATGGGTTCCCATGCGGGCTTCATATGCCGTATGCTGAAAACACTCGTGCCCGCTTGTAAATGGATGTCTTGATGACCCCATGTTGCTCCAATCTCTCATATACATACATATATATAAATATTTCGCCTCCAAAAATGACCCGTACCGTAGATTCACACATGTCAACCAGCCCCAGTCAGCTGAAAGGGTCCTATATCTTCCTGCAGTATCCCTGGACACCACCACTATCATGTAGCCTCTTGCAGTCTGCGGTGCTATGGCCTGAAAAAGCAGCGTAACATGCAGTACATTAAATCAGAGCGACCGCGACTGGAATCAGCCTGTATATGTATATATAAATATATGTGTATATATATATACTTTACTATAATAGGAAACAGGCTCGCACCCCTGGGTTTGTAGAGGTGAACCAGGACTCGAGACGAATTCCAAAGATGGACTTGAACAGGCACGAGAAAAGAGTACCTCCCTCGAACCCACATGAAGACAACTAATCCCCTGGATTGGGTATGCACCCAGGTTGCGTCGCAACGATTTATATACATGAATAAACTATGTATGAACACACTCTCTACCAGGACTCTTCTACCCAAACCCCATGTTTGGCTGCCTCACTTACAGCTTGTATCTTCTACCTACGAAAAGGAACCTTTGAAAAGGGTTGAGCCTAGGCAGTCCTAGGACTCCTAGGAACCGGAAGTCTGCCACGAGATGGCCTTGGCTCTTGTGTCCCTCTCCTCGAACTTTACCTCCAACTCATCGAAGTCGAACATGGCAACGCGATCTCGTAAGCCCGACGCAATGTGAGGGTAGCTTGAGGGGTGGGCTCAGGGTGCTTCCCCTATATGTCGAAGCATAAGACAGATTTGGGGAGCAACAAACGAAGTACAAGCTGAAAAAGCCAATCACGCATGCATGTCTGCACCAGTTTGGGCAGGCGAACATCTCAAACTTGCCAAAAGCTTGCTGCGGCGATCATGCAGCTTCCTGCAGGCCATGGCAATGCTCAAAATCCGAGTCCGGGATCTGCACACATATATAATAAGTCTCAGTAATGCGATCTTGCAGAAAATCGTTGATGCAGCTTGCAGGCCGAGACCAAAAAAACACAGTGGGCTTGCCTTTCGTCCAAGCGACCCTGTTTGGTTTGGTTTGAGGGGCTGGCTTCCAAACCCAAATCAAGTGAAATCCCAGTTTTGTCGCGGATAATCGAATATCAAGACCCTGCATACGCAGATCAAACAGGTGTACAAAGGAGGGGTGGGCTCCAATGAGATCAATTCCTTGAAAGTCTGTTTCATGATAGTTGAAAAGCTGAGATTTTCTTCCATGGCACCAACACTGGGAATCATGTTGACTCTCCGTTGGCGCAATACGCCCTGCCCACAAATTAAACAAGCTTCTAAGATCTCATCCTCCGAAGTGTCGTTCGCCTTCCCAGCCTCTATACCAGCCATTGAACATGCCGTCTCCGTAGCATCTAGAATCTAGAGAAGGAGTCCTGATAGAATCTCTGCAGTAATTTCAAGGGATAATTGCGACGATAATGAGGACCTATACGTACTCCCATTGTACCAGTATCAGTGGGTTAGGGGGCGGGGGGGGGGCAACTAAATCAGCTTTCTCGCAGGTAGCATTTTCACAAAGACTATAGTTACTGCGTATTTGAAACAGGCTAGTTGAACACCCCGCAACAAAAACTAAATGTTGCCTCACCGAATTCTTCGGCAATGATGAATGTAAGTATATTGGCCAACGTGAATGCTCGGCAAGACGGATGCGGTCCAACATGAACATAGTTGTCTCGGCCCACATAAATGCTTGGGGAATGAGCCGAATACGGGCGTAATTGCCACGGATGATCGGATGTTCGGATGCAGTCGAAAGTGAACATAATTCTCTTGGCCAGTATGGATACGCCTGGAAACGGATGCATTTCAACATGACATGAGCACTCACACACACACACACACATATCTTGCGGATTGGATGGCCAACATAGATGCTCGGGGAGTCAGATGCAGGCTCACATGATCGCCGGAAATGCTACCGAACGCAGAGCCAGCGAGACCAAGTCCCACCAAAAACATGAGTATACGCTACAAAACCAGCACTGCTCGAAACACATAATCCCCGTTACGCTCTCTTGGGGGCACACACATGTTTAGGAGGCGCCGGAGTTTGTGCTTCGATGCCTGCAGTGCAGCTGAACCGCTATTCCATGATCCACAGAAACAGGAGACCCTTTCGACTGGGAACCCGCTGGCAAGTCACAATACTAGTACTGTTTGTTATTACTCTTTCGATTCCCATTGCTATTGCTATTAAATTATTGTCATCAAGCCTGTAATTGGAGCTAGATGGCGCTGAACCTCCGGACCTTGAGAGGACACTTTTCTCCTGGCATGGCCCACTCGCAGTGTACCAGCTGCCTTCTTCGCAGTGGAAGTGGCCCTGGCTGAGGGTTTAGGGTTTAGTGAGCAGCACATTTGGGCTGGTTTGCGCGACCAAGGGTTTAGGGGATAGATCTACGCCGCGGTTGCAGAGATCGGCTCATAGGTACTAGTCGCCACGAAACTGCTGTGCCGGCTGATGGTTACCAGCTCCACAATAAAGTTACATGGGATTTCCGAAAATGAGAGGTTGCTTTGGGGGGTAACCTTTTAATAAGGTGATGATAATATGTTGGTGCTAGCGGAACTCCCATACATGTGCTGGCGTACGCCATGGCATCCTTGAGCTTTTGGACCTCTACCACATTTGCCTTTCACCCGAGCAACCCAAACCCACGGCTACCAGTAAGAAACAGAAAGCAAGTACATACACCATATTCACAATAAGAGTTCAGGGTCTCGGGCTCCACGCCCGCAACAAGGATGAGAAAGGGATGGCTGGATATCTTATCCTCTACGTAAGCACATGCCGCACAGCATTCCTACGAGAACATAGCACCCATGGAGTCCCAGCTTCTCCTACCCTAGACCCTTGTAACTTACCCCTGGTAGGATACCTAACTGCATGGTTCATATTTTGTACATACAAAAACCAGGTACCCTACAACAAGCGAACATTACGAAATGGTCTAGGTACTGTCCAAAGATTACACTTTATATGTTCATCTGTAGGTTACCCAATCCTGAGCCATTAGCCATCAATCCGAAGGGTCCAAGTAGATGGTGCAAATGCAAAAGCAAATGTAGAATCCATGAAGGGGTTACATGAGGGACCCCACGATACGGTACAGGCTTCAGAGGCCTTCGGTTCAGAACTTTGGGGGGAGGGGGGTGCACCGACCTCAGAACCGAGAAAAGCGAACGGCACTGAGTCGGCGTCGTGGCCCTCGCGCACATGCACTTCCTGAATGCCCAGCACATGCGAGTAGATTCCAAGACTAGGAGTGCTAGGTGCCAGCTTTTTACTTTGGGGCGGTGCCTCAAAATCATGGGTCGTTTTTGTAAAGGGTGGAGGAAGCCACCGCTCTGCGCCACTTCAGGGCCTAAGGTGAAGGATGCATGTGTTGAAAGGTGCAAGGCTCCTTCCATCAGCACTACAGAAGCTGCACAGAGGCTCCTGCATTCGGGTTAAAACCGAAGCCGTTTTGGGGATCTGCGCTTCAGGTCTAGGAGGGCTTTACATGTGTGAGTTGTGCCTGTGGCCTTCAGCCCTGTTTAGAATCCTGACAGATAGGTGACAGGTATGCAACACAACGATCATATGCGCTGTACAGTGCGGGGGGTGGCTCCTCTACATTGCTTCAGCCACCATGTTGGCTCACAGAGTTCTTAACAACAGGGGTGCGAATCAGGTATGCTTCAAAAGTCTAGCTGCCTGCAGACACCTCAACTCTCGAACTGTCCCGGACAAGTCAACACTCACAACCACACAACCTTGCAATGTAAGCATGGTTGCTCAACCTGCATTATCCACCACAGTTCTTCTTGAACAACGAGTTGGCAGAATCCGGACGTTCCAAGGCTTAAAGAGGAGCTATGCAAAACCAACGAGAGGGGGGTCTATTGCATGCCTTCCCACCTGCCTCTTGTTGTATTAGGGTAGGCGGTCATGCGAGGGGACCATATAGTAGGGGGGAAGACTGATTGCGTTGGGAGCAGTCTCAGACTGATGACCTGTTGTTCGAGCATGCCGCTACTTGGTAGAGTTTGTAAAAGCACGAAGGACATGTGAGGAATGGCTTTCTCCGAGCCCTGACATAGCCAGTTGAGTCTGGGCTTAAATTCTTGGTTCCTGTTGTTTGAAAGCATTGTTGCCTTGTTCGGATTCTCCAAATCAGCAGCCACGAGGCTTCGGTTGTTGTGCGAAGCCTGGGGCCTGATGATTTGGGGATGCATCTGTATGCAAAGCTCTTGATCATGCCACCTTGCGATGCCAGTACAGGTCTTGCATAGCCATGGCCTGAGAAGACCCTTTTTCTCTCTGCGGGTCCGTCGATCCAAAGCCCCTTCAGTAACCATATGTCTATGGGAAATTCAATACCAATGACAGCTCAATGTCCAGCAAATACCTAATGCAGCTCTGCAACAGAAATCCTATGATCAATGTCCGAAAAAGCCTCATGTGATGAAAGCCTCAGAATGCGGACTTTATCCAAAGATGTACCTGCAAAAGACGAAGGAGCATTGCCTCGTTACGACTTGGGATGCGTGTAAGTCCAGGCGTCAACATGGAGGTGCGGAGATGGGCAGAAGCCGACATCACCACTTTGGGCGATTTCCTGTGCAAGTTAGGGGCCTATTGACTTAGTTATGAGGTCATGATACTAGATGGTCAAGCAAGGACTGGATTCTAAGGGGATAATTTAGACAATTCTCCTGCATTAGGATTGTCCCGTTTATGGATATGAGGCTGAGTCCGCCGACCTTGGGGGGCGTGTTGGATGGTTTCAGTAACGGAGAGGGTGAAAACCTCTTCCTTTCTCCCTTACAGCCTAGAAA